TAAAACTTCAACAGGGGAAGTTTGAGGAGTTTTCCACATGTCTTGCAAGCCTGTGGGATGACCTGCTACTGACATGAAAAATCCTTGTAAAAATTGATTTAAAAAAATCAAGCCATGACATATATATATATATATATATATATATATATATATAAATACTGGCTACTCATTTCTGAGCAACCTGCCTCTCTGCCAGGGTAGTTAGTAAATCCCTATTACAGGCAACCACTCAACTCACAGACTATACTGTGGTTTATACTGCAATTATGCAGACCTCAGTTAGTTTTCTGGGAGAGAACACATAATCTAGCATGATCAATTTTTTGAACAAGGCCTGTATGCTCAAATTCTCAGTCACAATGACTTTTGACTTTATAACAACAAAAACCATCAACAGTTTCAGAATGGTTTCGTCTTGCCAACAGCACTCCTAAGGCTTGTGTTAAGCCATAGTTTGGTTTACAGACACTTTCCAAAGGTGCTGCATGCTGGGATCATCTTCCTTGGTCATCTCCCTGATAAATCAACCATTCTAACCATTTGGCCATTCACCCATATATATATATATATATATATATATATATATATATATATAAAAATGAATTGATTTAAAATGTTTTTTTTCACTACACAGTTCTAACCATGTTTCAAAAATGGAGGCTAAAAGCCACAAATTTAATTTCCATTTTTGAAACATGGTTAGAACTGTGTAGCAAAAAAACCATATTTTAAATCAATTAATTTATAATATTAATGCTTTGTAAATTTACATTGAGCACTATTTTGTAAAAATAAAAATATCTATAAGAACACCGGATTATATATCTTGCTGTTCTTTCTTTTTATTTATATACATATATATATATATATATATATATATATATACCTTCAGACACACATTAATGATTTAATAAGTTGACCAAATTTAATTTTGGTTTGAAATTCTCACTATTGTGTACATTCTCTGTGATCAGTAATTACAACTAAATTAAATGCATGGAAAAAGACAGAGATCATGTTGAAAAATATGTATTTGTTATTTAAAATATGTGCATATATACAGATGTACTTTTATGTACATATATCTACAAATACACAAACTTATATATATATATATATATATATATATATATATATATATAAAGAGGTTGTACATCTGTAAAATTAGATAAAAGATAAGTTGTTTTCAGACATATATATTCGAGTTTGTCTACATTTATGCCTGTATAAATATATACAGCTACACACACACATTCATATTGATTGTTTGTATATTAAATCCTGAGCTTAGAGTCTGTTGTTAATGATAAATGGAATTAACTAACATCTGTAAAACTTAATCAGTTGATGTTTTGCCAACAATGTTCACCTCATATTCACAGATCCTTGCTATCTATGGAGGTGTACAAGCAAATTCTTCATAGCAAAATCAGCTGACAGCTACAAGTCACCAAATAACAAAAACAATAAAACAACAATGAAAGAATTTATAAATAGCAAAAACTATCTTCATATTAAATGGGGGAACTTCATTACAAAAACTGATAATATATATATATATATATATATATATATACAAACATGTGTGTGTATGTGTGCATATACATATACACACACACATATATATTATAACTGGCTACTCATATACAAGGATACCTGTCTACTAGGACAGCTAGCCAATCCCTATTGCAGATACTTGCTCAAGTACATTTGTGTTTATTCAACACACAGAGAGTCCACATGCAGTTTATGTTGCAACTATGCTGAGCAGACCTTAGAGTTTCTGGGAAAGAGTGTGTTATCTAGCGTTATCAACAATTTGACCAAGGCCAGCACGCTCAAGCCCTTGGACACAATGACATGTGACTTCGTACTAGCACAGCTATCAACATCCCCCAAGTGTTCCGTCCACCAAATTTCACTCACACGGCTTGGGTCAACCCATTGAATGGTTTTCAGATACTTTCCTAAGGTGCCAAATGCTGAGATTGACCCCTCCAGTCCAATAAAATCAGGAAGTCTCCTTCCGGACAAATCAACCATGTTGAGATCCAAACATGAGTCTCATGGTTAGAATGCAAACAACTCAGCCATATGCCCATATACATATACACACACATGCACACACACACATATATATATATATATATATACAGACACATACATTTATGTAAATGCTTATATACACACACACACATACATATATAAATACATATATATATATATATATATATATATACACACATACATATATATAAACATATACATATGTATATACATATATAAAAAACACATGTATATACACACATATATACATACATATACACACACACATATACATATATATATATATATACATATATATATATATATATATATATGTGTACATATATATATGATATATATATATATATATGTATGTACATATATATACACACATATATACATATATGTACACACACACAAATATATATATATATGTATATAATATATATATATATATATATATATGTATATATATATATATATATATATATATATATATATATATATATATATATATATATATATATATATATATATATATATATATATATATATATATATATATATATATATATATATATATATATATATATATATATATATATATATATATATATATATATATATATATATATATATATATATATATATATATATATATATATATATATATATATATATATATATATATATATATATATATATATACATATATATATATATATATATATATATATATATATATATATATATATATATATATATATATATATATATATATATATATATATATATATATATTTTATATATATATATATATATATATATATATATATATATTTTAAATTTACAAGGCCATTTATCTTTAAACACATTAATAGCTAATTTTTTAATATTCTGTATATTATTAATTACCTGAAAGTTTCAAATACTTACTATGTGTAGAAAATCAGTTATTGTAAAATTATTTGTGCGTAATTATAAGGCCATTAAAAAAATTTTATTACAAAAGTAAGAAACACTAAAAATTTATAGAAATTAATATTTAGTTTGTTTTCTGTGATTTGTTTTTATTACAAACACTTTACTCTTCATAGAATAGATTTAACTTTTTCTGAGTGTCATTTTGTTTAATTGAATCTCCCAGGCTTTGAAAATTTCACTTTTTACCTCTTCCTTGTTATTAAATTGATGCCCATTCTTGTATACTTGTCTAACCAATATCCCCCAAAGGTTCTCGATAGGATTGAGATCAGGTGATCTAGTGGGCCAATAGATAACATTGATTCAGTTAGCTTGAAACCACTGTGTCTTACTGAAACACCAATTTCAACCACCAGTTTTGTAAGGCAAGCGAGCAGTAGACAACAAATTCTGATAACCCAAAGCATCAAGTCTTATGTCAATGAAAACAGTTGGAGTTTTGCCTTTGAATAGGAATGCCACCCAAATCAACTCCCTTCTCCTTGCACATTCTTGGAAAAGACTAACTTCTCCTTTCAAAGGTCAAGCCAATAATAAGATAACCCCATCCAGATCATCCAAATTAAATTTTTTTTTTTTTAATCCAAATATTCTACACCTTCCCATTGCTTGTCCCAAGTCATATGAGCTTTGGCCCAATTGAAGCACTCTGACATATGGTGCTCAATATAGAGCATTCATAAACTTGCCATAACTGAACTGATGATCTTTTAAGGTCTCTCCAAACTGTCCTGCATGAAACACCCAATTCCAGAGTTGCCTGGATCTTGGAACACAAGGCGACAACATTGCTTGCTTCTTTTTTGATCGCTCTGACATCCCTGTCACTTAATTTCTTGCTTTTTCCGGCTCTTTTCCTGGCTCCATATTCTTATGTGTTTGATAAAAAGTTATTAATAACCGTTAATTTTGTATTCAAAAGCATAGTTTAGTTCAATTTTGTTATGTGCTAATAATTTATAAAATTTTAAGCAATTGTTGATTTAAATTATTTTAACTTGCAGTGATCTTTTTTTTTAAATAGCTTTATAATAATGCAGCAATCATTTTTTAAGTTTTTGAATAATTTTACAATAAGTGATTTTTTTATTCATAAGAATTATTTGAATTCTTAATACTATATAATAATATACAAAATATTAAAATTATCTCAATTGCTAAAGTTTAAAGATAAATTCAGCTGGCCTTATAATTATGCATGCTCTGTATATATATATATATATATATATATATATATATATATATATATATATATATATATATATATATTGTTCCTGAGAACGGCCCTGCAGGTATTTTCAAAAAAGGAGACAGCATGGAGGTGTCACAGTTCTGAGCTAGGGTGTTTGTACCACATACATTTGTACAGTCTGCCAAATGTAATGCTCACCCTTGCCAGTCTGTTGTCAACCTCCTTGTCAATCCCAGCATCTGATGTGATAGCATATCCAAGGTAGGTAAACCAATGGACTACCTTCAGCTCAGTTGTGCCAATGATGATGTGGGGAGGGCAATACTCATCCCAAGGTACTGGCTGGTAGAGTTCCTCTGTCTTCTCTAAATAGACTTCAAGCCCAAAAAGCTTGGCAGCCTCTGTGAAGCAAGAAGCGGTCCACTGCAAAGCCCCTTTTGTGTGAGCAACAAGGGCAGCATAGTCAGCAAAGCAGTGGCCATGGATAAGTTACTCCAAGGTCTTTCTCTGGGCTTTTAATTCTCAAAGATTAAACAGGCCACCATTGAGACAGTATCTGATGTAGACTCCATCCTCATCAAGATCTTTCATGGCTTGCTTGAGGATCATGCTGAAGAAGATAGTGAACAGAGTTGTTGCCGGAACGCAACCCTGCTTTACACCACTGGTGATCATGAAGAGTTCTGAGAGATTGCCGTTGTGTCTAACTTGGCCACACTGATCCTCATGCAGTTGGATGATCATGTTCAGGAACTTTGGGGGACAGCTGAGTCACCCCATGATCTGCCACATTCCTCTTCTGCTCACTGTCAAATGCTTTCATCAGATCAATGAACACCACACAGTCCCGACACTTCTCCTGCAGCTGCCAGAGAACAAACACCATGTCTGTTATGCTCCTGTTGGTTCTGAAGCTGCACTGACTCTCTGGAAAGTGATTTTCCACGATGACAGGAACACGATGCCTATTCAGCAGAATCCTTGCAAGGATCTTTCTTGCAATGGAGAGCAGAGTAATCCCTTGGTAATTGGAGCAGTCAGATTTTTCCCCATTTTTTTTGTACAGGGCAATGATGACTGCATCGTGGAGATCTTGTTCTTTTTTTCCCTGCTCCTAATAACAGCAAAAGAGCACATGGAGTTTCACAAGCAACACTGGGCATCCATGCTTCCAGAATTCAGGTGGGATTCCATCAACTCTTGCTTCCTTGCCATACTTCAGCTTTGATAGTTTCTTCAATGGTGGGCAACTCATCCAGTTCCACTTTTCTGCTTGTTGGGGTATGCGGAAAATTGATGGTTCCTGGACCAAGAGATTAGCACTGAAAAGGGCCTATCAATTCTCTGACCAATGGTTTAGGATGGACACCTTGTCTGTAAGGAGCATCCAACTATCTTCACTGCACATAGAACTCTGGACCTGATACACAGGGCTGTATAATGCCTTTAGAGCTTCATAGAATTCCTGATGTCTCCAGTGTCTGCATACAGCTGAATTTTTTCAGCAACTTTGGTCCACCGCTTATTCTTAATCTCTCAAAACCTGTGCTGGAGGTTATGGCATATGAAATGGAATGAGACTTTCTTTACAGGATAAGGTGGCTGAGCTAAGTGAGCTTAATAAGTTGATCTCTTCCTCAGCAACAGTTCTTGGATTTTCACATTGTTTTCATCAAACCAGTCTTTGTTCTTCCTTGAGGAGAACCCAAGGACTTCTACAGATGTCTGAAGAATGCCAGTTTTGAGTTCTTCCCAAAGTGTTTCATATATGTACTAAATATAATATTTCTAGGAATAATAGATAGATAATGTTAGATTTTAAAAGATTCATCATCTGCTATATATATATATATATATATATATATATATATATATATATATATATATATATATATTATCAAAATCTGTTTTGATACTTGATCCTGTGTTTGAAAGTTCACTAAAAATAAGGATTAACTCTAATTGTTTTGTGGATAACTAATGTGCATTTTTTTTTTACTTCTGACCAGAAAAAAAGCTTTTTCTAAAAATATTTAACTCCTTATTTTTTTTCAGTTTCATAACTTTGCCATTGAATCAAAGGATGAATCTAATCTAAAAAAAGATTCTGTTATCACAACAGGATGTAAAAGATTGTATTACACCTAAGTTCTGTCATGTGCATTTACCTTGCTATTACAAGAGTAGGTGATGTGGCTCATTGGATTAAAAAAACAAAAAAAGCAGCCAAGTTGCTGACATTGTTCACTTGGGTTTGAGCCAAGAAACAGCTGTCTAGACCTTAGACAAACCTTTCATCTCTTATACCCCCATAAATATCAGTGCATTTATTTGTTTCATGTTCTGCATTACTTGGCAGGTTTAAATACATTTCAATGTGAGGCATTTGTCTCTTCTAAACATGTGCCTTTGTACGCCTTACTTTTCTTCACTTGAACCACAGGGAATTTAAGCAAGTCTTTTAACTCTCCTTACCAATAGTCTTCATCAGAAGATTCCAAGAATAAAAATCTTGACCTCTAGCATTAACTGTTGAAAAAGCATCTCAAATAAAATCTTTAAAATTCTCTCTCTGCCAAAATTAATTCATTACTGTACTTCTAAAGTACACCCTGCCCTCAATATAAAGTATTTACTAAGATTTGGCATAGACAAGCACAAGGTTAGAATTTCACACCACCTGATATTCTAGAAACATGTGTCAATATGTACTGAGCATATCATGAGATAATGTCTATTTATATGTTAAACTATTATAACTTCAATCAAAAATAAACTTGTTTTAACAAATGTTTCTAATTTGATACAGCAGTAGAGCACAAGGTCTATTAACTTTTAAAAAAGCTACAGTACTACAGAAACTATACACAAATTCGTATACAAGTGAAGAAATAGGTATATGAATATCTTTTAACCAACCAGCTATGTTATTAGTTGCTGGCTAAATTGTCTGAGGGCAAAAAAAATTACATACTTATATATATATATATATATATATATATATATATATATATGACTTAGAAGATAGAAATTTAAAAGCTGCTTGCTGCTTCCTTTCGATATACCCACCCACCTCTCTACTTCACACTGCAAGGCATCATCAAGTGGCAAATTAGATGCACTTTTATACCTGTTTGCTTGCAGACAGTCTGCTGTAGACAGACCATATTTCAGTGTCTGTCTGTCTGTGAGTCAGTCTGTTTGTCAAGGTAAATGATTGCTGGTGATAAAAATAAAATCTAGTAGAACAATTTGTGCAAATCAGCTGGCTCACAATTTTCTTCTTTTTTTTTTCAGCTTAATAAAATCTTTTGAAACAATAAAGGATTCCAGTGAGCATCTGTTTTTATTTTACACCTGTGGATGAGGTGCTGCAAGTGAGGGAGATATCATTTATGTTCACAAAAATAGAAAGATTCATTAACCAACTACATCTGATCCAGTTAGAAAGTTGACCATTTAGATCTAAGACAAATTTTTCACACTTCATATATACAATTTTCTTCTCATGACATGTATTATTCACAGATATATTTTAAAATATATGATTGACCTATTTTAGAAAATGATGAGTTAAAATGTTAGTGATTTCTTCTAATAATGAAATGCTTAAAAAAGAATTAAAATCAAAGAAACACCTGTATTCTCCAGTACTAGGAAAAAGAGATATTGAGGAGTGTATTAATTAACCCAAAATGTTTTCCATTCATTAAGATAAAAAACATTTTTTTCCTGATTTAACTTTATTGAATTATATAGTCACCATCTTCTTCTACAATCTTCTGGTATCTTACTGTCCACTTCTCCCAGATTCTTTTTTTTTTTTATTAAACAATTGCGCTTGATGCATTTTACAATATTCCAAGGAGCTGTTTTTTTTTTTCATTAAAAGAATTCTATAAAGACCTGAATAAATGGTAATCCCAATGTGCAATATCTAGTAACTATCAAAGATGTGTGAAAATTTCCCAGCCAAGCTGCAACAATTTTTGCCTGTTCACCAAAGAAACATGCAGTCTAATGTTATTCTCATGGAATATAAGGACCTTTTCCCTTGACTATCATCAATTGCTACTTTCATTTGGTCTAACTGAGAACATTACATTACATTGTTTGGATGAAGACTTGCTCTTGATACAGTTCATGATTGTTCAGTTCAATTGTCCCTAGCATCTCCTGTTGCTGTAATATATACACTGATCATCAGTGAAGTTTAAGTAGTGAATTACACATGGAAATACAATCCAGTTTTTTTTTTGTTTTTTTTTAAATTATGTGGAAGTCATACAAGGCAATTAACATAAGCAAACTGGTGTAAGTGATTTTCAACACTTTGTTTAAATATTTTGAGTATATTGGTTATCTCTGACATCATTGATAACTTAATTTGATTTCTATCAACTTCAAGTGGTCTAACTGACCATGAAATATCATTTAGTAAGAAATTTCTAGCACAAACTACTATCTATATATTTGATCATTTTCACTACTGTCTCTATAAAATGAAAAAAAAATTTTCTGCATTTGAGTCACATTTTTACCTCCCTTAAAATATAAAAAAATATATAAGCTGAAAATGTTGCAACATTTCTTCCATCTCCAATATGAAAATCAATAAACAAAAATGCTGATATAGTAACTTTCACAACACAACAAAAAGTTATCTTTTTTTAATTAAGCTAAAACTAAATGCTGCTAATGCCGTATAACAAAATCTTTGGTCAATCAAATCAAATCCTATAGTGCCATACTACAAAGAAATGGTTAACAAGCTAGTCTTCAAATCCTTACTACCATAGTGAGTTTAATTTTTCTTGAGGGATGTCCTACACTTATTACCTTAAGCTGTTCAACCTGACTTGGATGCGCTGGTTTTTGTGCAGTTGGATGACCATGCTGAGGAACTTTGGGGAGCAGCCAAGGGACTCCTTAATCATCCACATTCTGCTTACTGTGTCAAACACTTTAGTCAGGTTGAACAGCAACTTATCTGGAACCTTCCCCATTGTCAGCAGCGTTAAACAGGGTTGTAACCTGGCACCAACTATGTTTAGCATCTTTTTCAGCATGATGCTTAAACAGACCACAGAAGACCTTGATGGTGATGATGATGTGTACATCCGCTACTGCCTTGATGGCAGTCTGTTTAATCACAGGAGTCTGCAGGCACACACAAAGACACTTGAGTAGTGTTCCATGACCTCCTTTCTTAAAACAAAGCTGCCCTTGTCACCCACACCAAAAGAGCCCTTCAGTGCCTAACATCCTGTTTTGCAGAGGCTGCCTGGCTCTTCAGACCTGAGATCAGCTTGAAGAAGATGAAGGTCCTCTACCAACCTGCACTCTGAGAAGAGTACCGCCTGCCTCACATCACCATATGCAAAACTGAGCTGAAAGCAGTTCACCAGTACACTTACCTGGGGTGTACCATCACATAAGATGCCAAAATTGACAGGGAAGTAGATAACAGACTGGCCAAGGCAAATGGCACTAAGAGTTCTTGAGTGCTTCCATCAGTGCTGTCTCTGTACCGTCCTCAGCATTCACAGGTGGGATTACATCAACAATGATGAGGTCCTTGAACAGGTGAAAATCACCAGCATTGAAGCTATGTTGCTGAAGTCACTGCTACACTTGGCAAGGCACATCTCCAGAATGGTGGACCATCACATGCCCAAGATAGCCCTGTATAGCATACTCTTCACTGGCTACCATTATAGGAGGACACCAAGGAAGCGTTATAAGGACTTCCTCAAGAAGTCTCTCGGTACCTGCCACAATAACCATCGCCAATAGTCGACACTTGCTGATTGTTTAGTGAACACTCAGTATAGAAAGTAACTTAAAAGATTTTGAATATAAATTTACTTTTTTTTTCTTAATAATGATGAGGGCATATATATCTTCAAGCATCATCAGATCCAATGGACAAAATTGTAACCGAACTATTGCTATCAACAAGACCACCACCCTGTTCAACCCAAGAGTTTTCTCTTTTCATTTCCAACTTCATCTCCACACACTTCTTTATTTCTATCTTCTTTTCCACTTTCTCTCATTATTTCCCTATCTTTTTCTCTTAATTTTTACCCTTCCTACTCTTTTTATTCTCTCACTTTTTCACACTTTATATTTCTATGCCTGTTACCCTCTTGTTCTCTTTTTTACTATCAGCTCATCTGTTCTCCCTTTCTTTGTCAGTCTTTTCTTTCTCCCTCTTTTAAAAACTCTATTTCACCCCATTTATCATACCTGTCTAATGTTTGCTTTTGCATATTTCCTCATTAACTTACCTGTACCACCTTCTTGTCTCTCATAGCGACTCACACCACACTGCATATGATATCACTTCTTTCTGTTCAAATCCCAACATTGTATCCTTCTTCCTTTTATCTTATTTTTATTTTTGGATTTTTCTTCTGCAACTTGTGTTTTCTGCTGTTGTATTTAAAAACTTCTTTTATAAGCAATTCCATCCACATGGCTAATATTATCTAATGTTGCTCACAACGAGATTTTTAATACATCTTTTGGTTGAGTGCCAGAACTTACAGCCATAAAGTAAAAAGGCTTTTGATTTCAGTTTCAACACGCTTTTTAACAGGGAAATATTTTTTAGGGAATTTTCATTTTTTTTTCTTTCTTTTTCCTTGTTTCTGTCCTTTCTGGTTTTCCTTCCTTTATTTTTATTATTTTCTCATTACTTTCTTTCATTCACTTTTCTTTTCTTTTCTTCACACATCAAATGATTCTCTTTCTCATATCATTTTCCCAAGGAATGAGCATTAATTTTGCCATCTATACAAATATTAATTAACTGAAACAAATTGTGCATTGTTAATCACACACACACATACACATATATTTATATGGGATTAATACAAATATAAAATTTGTTACTTAGCAGTTTCATAGATGAACCCTTTTGTAGTTGTTCAGTCCACTTATCAGGTTTCAGTATGTATATAACCAACAGTGGATCAATAAATTTGTAGACTGTTATAAGCTGAATTTTGACCTGAAATTTTCACTGTATAATGTTCAATTAGAAGCCTTAGGTTAAATCTCTAACTATTAGTTAAATAGTTAGGTAGACAAAGCTCTCTAGCCTTGACTAGCAACCAGTCTAGAAGAAGGAAAATATGAATCCAAAACCAGCCTGTACAGGGATCTTGCACTAGGCATATCCACAGTTGTTATTGTTGCAGTACATGCAGTGACACAATAACCCTAATGGATTATGGGATTTGTAATAATGATTAGGCTAAATACATTAACAACAATTAAGATTATATTGAAAAATAAGTATTTGTTGTGCAGAATGAATGCTTTTTTTCTTTATTAGGATATTATTTCTGTGTGTTTGTGTGATATTTTTTTTTTTTACTTTTGTGGATTCATTTCTATTATTTATCCTTGTAGAATGAGTTGTAGAAATTGTGTTCTCATGCCTGTTTAGCTTGTCTTGTATATTTGAATGATGTTGATGTCAGAAATGGTTTCAAACATTGAATAAACAGTTTCAATATCATAAAAATAAAATTATAAACACTGGAAAAGAAAACTTTTAAATGAAACCTAAATTTTTTTGATTCTGTGCACTTGAGTTGTTGGAGACATTTTCAAGATTTAAAATTATTTAAAATTTCTCAGAATAATGAAAACAACAAACATTGATCTCTAACATTGCTAACCTCTCACTACTCCATAGCTATTTCCATGGCAAGTGTTCTGACAAGTTCCACCTGTTCAGACCTTTTTTAAATTCTTTGTCCCTCTTGAACATCTGTTTATTATTTAATTAACAGTTTCAGGTAATCATACCATTTTATCTTAATATGAATCAAAATCATTGCTTTATTATTAACATTTTGGTTTTCTTTTATTGTTTAATAAACATAGAATATAAAATATTTTAAATAACCTAAGTTTAAAAAAAGCAGTAAATATGAAAGAAACACAAAGAAATATGAAGAAGTATTGCTAGTAATTTTTTTTTTTTTTCATCTAAGAAATTCTGTTCCAGAGATTTAACTGATTATTCAGAAGCAGATTCTCTTTATTCTATGTTTTTAACTTCAAATATTTTAAACTTTTCTTGATGGTATCTTTATTAGTTCTTTTCATACCAAAACCTATAGCTGTGTTGGTCTATTTTCCAATATGACAGTCATCAATATCAAATGAAAGACTATAAACAATGTTTTTACTATTTTATAAGCTTAATAAACAACCACATATCTCTGTTTCCTTGTTTTCACTATATAAGATAACAATGTTACAGATTTTGCTAAGTGAAGCCTTTATATATATAATGAGATAAACTCTCTTATGGCATGTTGGTTCTGTTATCCATTTGATGACTGATAATTGTGTTTATTCAATATGAGTATATAACATTTCTTTTAATAATTATTAAATTAAATGTTTATATTATGGAACAGGCATTTATTTTTAGACCTAGTGGAGAACAGATTGGTTAGCATTTATGGAATCAGTCAATTCTTGTTTGGTAGAAAACCTTTCTATGGTGAATTCAGGCAATGGTCAGTAAGTTAGGTTTGCAGTAATTAATTTCAACATTGGTGTATAGATCTTAACCTTGTGAAAAATTTGGCTTATTTCAATAAATATAATTTTGGTTTTTCTTTATGTCAAAAATTATTATCACTTCTCAGAACCATTTATGTTTGTCTTCACACAAAATAATACATAATTAAGGTATGCATTGTCCATGACAGCACCTCCCCATTGTACCAATGTTCTAGAGTTAGGAACAGTTTCAGACATTCCAGTGTTTTTGTCTTTCTCCATATGTATGCCTGTGGATCCCCTAAATTAAATCTGACCTTGTGTTATATTTATCCTCATTGGAAAGTAAACAAGTACCAATTTGTATTATTAATAAAAATGGATATCAGTTTGAATGAGATCAAATAGAAGTTTTATTTTCTTTTTAAATAAAAATCTTTTATTATTCATAAGTCTTGGCCTTCCAGATCTTGGGGAAACTACACTAATAATGAGTTAAAATAAAGTTGTACTGTTTATTTCTTCTCCCAGGTGAGTTACAATCATGAAAATTCACTTCCTAAAAATAAAAAGATTGCAGCTTTTCTAAGCAAAAACAAAACTTATTTTAAAGTAACACAATCTCTTTTGATTTTTAAAAATAATCTATACCAAAAGTAGTGAGATAGTGTTTTCATTTTTTTTTAATATTTTTAAAGCTCCCTATTGCCCTTGAAAGGGGAGATCAGTGTGGCACATATTTTTACCCTGAAATGATCTTCTCTCTTCCATAAAGCACAGACAACCGACAAGTTACACAGATTTCAATCAATAAAGAAATGTTTTTTGCTTTTTTTTTATAATTTGGACATAGAAGAGATTGGGCCCAGCAAGTTACTCCCTGCTACTAGTCTCCTTACTACGACTACTACTACTACTACTACTACTACTACTACTCTCATAACAATGACTTGTATAACTGTGATAACTTACTGCTACTGCTGGTACAATACAAGTATTGTATCTCTTTCTTTTGACATCACTACTGTTGGTTTCTTTCTGTTCTGTATAATGGTATAATTTCTACTCTCACTTTTACATTCTTACAACCAATGTTATAAAGACAGAATAAAGGGGTGCCTTTGAAATTGTTCAGTTTATTGGAAAAATCTAAAAGAGGCTATTTTCCTTGGACTCAAAAGGATGACTTAGCCCCAAATACCAGATGTTGACACTAAATTCCCAATACTGTTTTTAATATTACCAGTCTTTACTATTCAAGATTACTAACTATAATAATTAAAACTCTCTCATGCTCCTAAAAATGATATTACAATTTTACCATGTTTCATTATTTAATACCATTACTGTTTCTATTTCTATTTCAACTATCAGTTAAAAGCTGTAATTTAAAAAAAAAAAAAAGGATAGGTTACAGGCCCAAAGTGAATGAGGTTGCATCCTAGCTGCTAGCTTGGTAAGGGACAAACACACCTGACAGGGCTGTAACAATTTTGGGAGGGGGCAAAATAAATTTAGAATTTAGCCTTAAGTTATCAAAGGCTGCTAACATCATTAGTAGCAAGGACATTTAAAATTTCCAGTACCTCTTTGTTTTGATAGTTTTTTTTTCTTTCTGGTATTTTTTATTATATTTTGTTAAAATAAAACCTTGTAAAAATACTACAATTGCTAAAATTTTTTACCAAATATGAAAAGAATTTACTAACACTTTATTAAAATATGTAGTGATTACATTCATAAACTTGTAAAATAGAGCTTATTCTTGAGCATATTAATTTTCTTCAAGTTCTTATCATATCTACATGTTTTGTTTGTTTTTGATGATGTATATCATTTTTTATAAACTTCTGTTTTTATTGTGATTACAGAAAATTAATGAAACAAAAGTTGTGATTATCTGTTTTACTTAATCAAAAAACACTACCTGCTTGAGGTAACATTTCAGTTTGAATGTCTTTTCATTAAAGATCCAATTATGGAAGACATCATTTTTATTTTGGACCCTTTTTGTATAAAAGAGTTTGTGCATATGTATGGATCATTGAATGAATATACAAGCATACAGTCTTTATAAGAAGACAACAAATATTTACTATTTTTTTAGTAAGGACTTTGTACTATAATTATTATTTACATTTATATATGCTAAAAATTGTGCATATTGGGTGTCATACATACATGCATTATATATATATATATTGTTTTATCAGTGGCTGAAATAACATGTATGTGTTTAAGTCTCTCAGTTACAAATAAAAGAAAGTTATTAAGGTTAGTAAAAAACAGTGGTAGGGCAACTCATAAGGATAAAACTCTCTTGTGAATTGGACAGTGAAATCAACTTACCAAATGTTGCACTTAGACATCCTTGCTAAAAGAAAATAATCAGTCAAATCTTTCTATTTTATCAAAATCTTTGTACATATTTTTACTTTTATATTTATATTAGACATGTAGATGTAGAGTGGTGAATTGTTGAACCTCTAGAATTTAACTAAAATGATAGACTTCTTGGCACAATAATGTATCAGAAACAAAGCCTTAATAATGAATGAAATATTACAGTGGTTTTATGAAATTCTTACTTAAATATTTGATGTGCCAAAAACATATTTCATTATTAATTTATATACCTCTTAGATTCACAAGAAATATCTTCAAGAAATTTATGGCCTATTTTTGCATTTCAAAGATGAAGAGCTCCAAGTGTGCTAATTTTCATGTCT